ATTTCGCCAGTCCAGTGCTGGCTCACAGCTCCAGTGTCTCCCAGTCTGGCTTGGAGGCGGCTCCTGGGGATGAGATGCTGAAGCACGGCAGGCACACTGGAAGCAAATCATGGGCTCCTGAAAGACTCCTGACCCTCTCAAAGCAGTTGGTTTTGCAAAAGGCAAAAAGGTCAGAAAGGGATGTTCTGTGCATCCCGTTAATTTTGGCTGTGGGTCTACATGTATCACTGTTAACATGTCTCTGGATGCACTTGCATCACAGCTGGGAGATAGAAATGCTGCAAGAAGAGTTACTCAAGAAGTGTCAACATGGACATATAGTGGGTTAATGACCAAAATACCTATGGGTTGTGCTGACCTTGTCGTCTCTCCCTGGCTCTTTCAAATTGGGCTCAGTGCTTCTTGGGGAGAAGGTTAGAAACGAATTGCCCGGTTATTTCCTACCATCAGATTTCAGAGCCTTCAGACCCCACAGATGGCTCTGCTATGAGACTCGAATGAGCTCCATTTCTGCAATAACTCCTCCAGAGAGAAAGAATTAGGAGGCTTAGCACTTTTGGATGACAGTTGTCGGGGCTGCTGTCAGATAACAGGCACCGGCAGCCGGCACAGGAGCCGGGATCAAGGCAGGCTGCCTGGTTCAGCCATCCCAGAAAAAAAGCCATGTTTATAAAACCCACATGAAAAGGAACGAATTGCCAATTACGCAAAAGTCTTTAAATAAAGCAACACAAACCTTTCATGTGCAGCAGACAAATGATATACGGTCACTGGGAAATAATATAACAGATAGGGAGGCTGCGAGTCCAGAATGGAGGAAATCCATTTTCCAGAAGGAAGAAAAGGGACTCGCTCGCTGAAAAGGATTAGCTGGATAAAGCCAAACACTTTTTTAAAAAAAAATTGTGTTAGAAACTAAACATGCATCAAACAGAAAGAGGAAAAAAAACCCAGATTGTAAGATCCAAGGAGCCACACTCTGCTCCTGCACAGGAAGAAAAAACTGTCAAAAAAAAAAGCTGTGTAAACTTGCCACAAAACCCAGATCATCAACAGGCATTTATCAAATGAAACACACACCAAATGCAACTCTTCTGCTTAATCCCAAGTCAAACAGACTTTGAGTTTCAGACCCTCAGGAAGAGATTTCCATATGATCCTCCTCCGTCTCCGTTTATGATTAGCCCTTCTAAATTTCAGCATTTATCTGACAAAACACATTGGGGAGGGTTTTCTTTTATCCTCAAAGCCTCTGTTTCTGCTTTTCCTTAGCTGCTGCTGCTGCACCACTCTGCAGCAGCTCAATTTGGGAGGAAAAGACTGTAGTCAAGACCCTTTGATCGACTAAACCCAGAATTGCTTTCCTGATGGTGGTAACCCCAAGCCCTTGTGTTATGTGCCAACACCGAAGCAAGCCAGCATTCACAGAAGGGGTTATAAATACTTCTTAAGAGCCAAAATCTCACTTTTGAGGTGTAGTAATGCAAATAAGACATATATGCCAGCGGGGTGGGGTCCCACTACTAATTGCTGCGTGGCCTTTCAGAGGGGTTTTTGTACTTTTGGGAGAGAACTTGTGGTGTCAAAATGTTTCAATCTGGCCTGGCAGAGCTGTCTCACTGAGCCACTGCTGAGTCCCGTAAGCAGCTGCAGGAGCACCATTACCAGTCTCCACCCTCCTGCAGCCCGAGGTATGGTCCTCGTTACCCACCAATTGGTATGTTTCAGACAACATATTCATAAACCCCCCGAGTCTGATCACGGCTAATTCACAGACAAAAAGGGAGGACATTTGCTTAATACACTGCTTTTTGCAAACACCCTGATTGTTCCCAGATGCATCTGGTTTTGCCTAGCAGCACTCGAGGCAGGAGAGGAAATAATTTCAGCTCCCCAGAGACACTGGCCAAAGCTGTTTCAAGATGCTCCAGGAGCCCTCCTGCATCCGTTCAAGGGAGCTGTACCCAGGTCTCTCCTTCGATCAGACCCAGGTTCTTCTGCTGGTTTTTCAACATCAAAAGGAAGGACCACAAAGATGATCAGAGAGCTGGAGCATCTCTCCTACAAAGACAGGTGAAGAGAGCTGAGGTTGTTCAGCCTGGAGAAGAGAAGGCTCCAGGGAAGACCCCATTGCAGCCTTCCAGTACTTAAAGAGGTCTTTTTAATAAGAGAATGACTTTTTACGTGGGCAGACAGCGATGGTTTAAAACAATGGTTTTAAACTAAAAAAGGAGAGATTTAGATTATATGTTAGGAATAAATTCTTTATTCAGAGGGTAGTGAGGCACGGGAACAGGTTGCCAGGAGAAGTTGTGGATGCCCCATATTCAAGGCCAGGTTGGATGGAGCTCTGAACAATCAATTCTAGTGGAAGGTGTCCCTGCCCATGGCAGTGGGGTTGGAACTAGATGGTTTTTAAGATCCCTCCCAACCCAAACCATTCTATGAAAACACAGGAACAGAATCTCTGAACACTTCTCTAAGCAGAGCACACACACAGGCACTGCAAGGCTGTGTAAAGCCAGGCCCAGGTGAGTCTGCTATTTAGATCTCACCCGTGGCAGAGAAATCAGTTCTACCGATTCCCAGTGGTCTCCCCTAAACTTGCCATAGGAGTGTGAAATTAGCTATGGAAAAGCTTCCGAGAAAGGCTGAGGTGGTGGGAAGGAGGAAATTTCACATGAGAATTTAAGAGCTTGACTCCTGAGCAATTCAAGCCAGTGCAGGTCTAGATGTTAAGACCCAACAAAGCCATGGAGGAACCTCTTTCATGGCAAAAAAACAGCAAACCATCCCATGGCAAGATATCCACAGAAAAATACAACTTTGAAGTGACAGCCAGAAGCTCAGGCTTGGATGAACATTTTATTTACAGCTTCTTGTTCAGTTCAGCTACAAGATAAAGTAATAGCAATAAAAATATGATGCTCAGAAATCATAAAGCAACTTTTATCTGAAATCTCATGATGACTTACAAACAATCCAGGTTAGTTGGTGAGATTTCCCCTAGCAAAGTGCATGTTGCTCCTGGAGGGAGCCCAGTCGATTGAGGATCCACTGGGGCAAAGAGCTGCTCATCTGGTTGACATCAGCCTGTTCCTGCCCCAGTGGACCAGCACTGGGACCACCCCAATGCTGATGGCTTTACCTTTTAAGGCAGGCAAACCAAAGCAGCGTGCCCACGTCTGCAAAGAGTATTGATACTAGAGGCACACTTGAGTCCAAACACCCACTTTCTCTTCATCTGCTCCACCCAAAAGTGATTTTGCCCTGAGTAAAAGCTACCTAGGAGCATTGAAAACCCTCATTAAGCCAGAAAAGCATCTGAGATACCTCAGTGGACAATCCTGTACATATGGGGGGGCATGGTGGTACTTAGAGATCTGGGTCAACCTGCATGCAACAGAGGTTACTGCTTTTTCTGGACATGAATTTTTCATCATCACCCCTCCTTGGATTTCCCCATTCACATATTACTTGAAAACAGCAAAATGATTTGTTGTACGAATAAAATTCAACCATGGGTCACTTGCAAACTAGTTAGTGTGATTTACAGAGCAATTCACTTCCTGTATTGATTAAAGGAATTCCCCTTGAAGGTGTGATCAAACACTTGAAAAAACATAATATCATGTGATATCACTTCTGCTCACTCGGAAGTGGACACAGAGCTTCCCAAACCAGCCCCCTTGGAAGTCATTTTCCTGTGGTTTTTTAGTGTCCTTGATAAAACCCCAAACAATCAGGTTGGCCAGGGCAGCTCACATAGATTTCCTGCAGTATCTTTTAAGCTGTGATTATTAATATAGTGAGCAGCGCTTTAGCAGAGCTATTCTCCAATAGCCCACTCATTTTTAATTGAGCTAAGAAAAATTAGAAAAGGCATTTAGATGAAATGAGAAGCCAAGTGCTGTGTCCTGGTGATGAAGGTGACTGAACTTCCCCCCAGCCAGCTGCAGAGCTTCAGCAAACTCGGTGCAGCCCAGTGCAGGGGTGCTCACCTTGCAGAGATTATTGGCATAGTGTTTTGTTTTAATTAGTCATCCTGATTTAGCTGCTCTCATTCCGGGTCTGGCCTGGCTCATGGTTATCCAGACACTCTCTGAAAACACTGAATGTCACGGGGAGCTGAGGGATTTCACCTCCTTGATGACTATGTACTTAAAAACCATTATCCATTAGCATTTTTGCAATGGTATTTTTAAGCAACTTTCCAGAAAGCGAGGCTGAATGTGCTTCCGTCTATTCAAGTCACCATCAGCCATCCTCATTCAGGTTTGCCGGGGCTGGGTAGGATCCTGCCCCCCCTCCCAGCTTATCAGCTGCAGCTGGGGTATTTGGGTGCTGTGGGAAGTTTCATTTCCTGCCGCTTGGGCTGCCCGTGGCTGGCCCGAAGCCTTTGCAAAAGGAAAGACATTCTTCTAATTCTTGTTATTAACCCATTGTGGATCTCTGAGACAGGAGCCAAAATTGTCAGGAAAGTACAGGATGCTACAGCTTCCATCAGCCCATCCTTACATACCATGACCACTAGACTCTCATTGTTTCTGATTTTCCTTTTTTTTTTTCAAAACAAAAAGATAAGGCAGATGGAGCACTGACTTATTTTAATGCATATTTGTGTTTGACATATGATTTACACCCCACAAGCAACGCCTGCCCGATGCAATAAACTTCTCAAAGCTAAGCAATGCCTCAAAAAAATTGCAAAGTGATATAGTAACAGTGTAAAAAATGACCAGAGCTGCTTTTCTGTCTCACTGGCAGGGACTGGGACAGTTTTGGCACAGAATAAAGCAAAACGTCCTGAATTAGTCCTTCCCACAGATATGCCTCTGCAGGTCCTTCCCAGACAGCACTAATGGAGCTTCCCTGAGCTCTGCAGGCAATCACAGTGTGAAGCTGCTGAGAAAACCAGCTGAAAACCCTTTTCTCTCCCCACCCCGGCGAAAACCCGCAGCTGTAGCAAACTATCACATGGCGAAACGTGCAGTTACTACCTGAACGAGGAGCTCCAGCTTCCTGTCGTCAAGGAGGTGCACTTGGCATCTGCGACCCTCCGTCATCTGCAAGAGAGAAGAGGCACGTGTGTCAGGGCGCTCGGCATTCCAGCTTGGCACGCGGCCGCTTCCCCGGCACAAGCTGGGGGCTTTCACTGGCTGCAGTGCTTTTGGTTTGTTGTTGTTCGTTGGGGTTTCTTTTGTCCTTTTATTTTTTATTTTTTTTAATTAATCTCCCTTCTATTGGCACCAGGGGAAAGAAAAGGCTGGAAGGAGAAGCAGAAAAGCCACCCTGGTAGCTGTCATGGAGCAGCGTCTGGCGCCTGCCCGGATGCAGCTGCCGGGAGGAGGTTGTTCCAATGTGTACAGTGGGGCCAGGGGACGGTTTGCAGGGGCCCCGGCATTTCATCCTGCAGCCTCCAGCTCTGCAGATGGCTTGGCTGGTGGAGGAGACACCCAGACAAGTTTCCCCAAACTCCTCAACAGCAGTGATCCAACCATGCCACAGGTAGTGTGGAACAAGCAAGGTCCTCCCTAGGAAGTGCTGATGGTGCTTCCTGGAATGGCACCAGCTGCATTTTTGGTCCTGAATCCCAGAATGGGCCTGTCCTACTTGGGGTGTCCTATTTAAGATGTACCACAGATGTACCACTTGTGATATCATCGTACTGGTCCAAATGTGCTTCCATACCAGTACAGTTTATTACCACTGTCAACAAAATAATATCAATAAACCTGTTATTTATACAAGACTTATATGAAATTTCTGAGGTCCAGTGATTGGAGACCTACGAAATACATGAGCTGTGGTCTGAGGGAACTCCTCTACAGTGCACCAAGCCCTTTCCCAGCTCTCCTCTTGCACAGAGCACTGTAAGCAGGGAGCAACTTTGCTTTGCAGAGTTCTGGAACCTGGCTTAGTTCAACAAAGCCCCTCAGGCACAGGAACAAGCACAATCCCACTATCTGTTAATGGGATATGGACTGCTTTAAGCCTCTTTGGCTATTGTAAATCCCTTCCTCAGCATGACTTAGGCAGCACAGGCAGCCCCCCTTGGCGTGGGCTCACCCCACGACACTCACACACACCTGGACCCACAGCAGCACAGCCCCAGCGCAGCCCCACAGCTCAGTTGAGTCCCCCAGGGACCCACCACCCTCCAGCCAAGGCACCTTCCTGTGCTTTGCATGGATCCTCAGATCAGTTTAATGATATTACTTGCCACAAAGAGTCTGAAAGCATCACCAGAAGGGAGTGGAGGGTCCACGGGAGCCTAGCTGGGGGCCTGCAGGCTGCTGGGGACATGAGTGCCCCAGTGTCCTGGGCATTCCTGCCCTGATCCATCATCTCTTCCCACCAGTGCCAGCTGAGCTGAGCCTGATGCAAAGCCACCTTCCAGAGAGTAGGGAGACGTGGGTTTGTGGGGTTAACTGAGGACAGCTCAGCTTTCTGCTTCAGCTCTGCAGGTCAAAAATCACCCACTCCTGTGGCTTGATGGGGCTGGATGTGCTGGTGTCCAAGAGGCAGTGGTGGATGCTCCACCATCGACTTTACCTGTTCAAGAGCCCGGGCAGTGCATGGCCATTGCCATGGGATCTGCAGCCCTGGCCATTTCCAGCAGCATCACCCTCACCCTGCTCGGTGCAGGAGCCCATGAGGCTCTTCTGTGTGCTCCTGTCCTCCCTCTTGCTAGGTCTGTCTCACGTCCACCTCCCACTTTCCTGGGACCAGACCGGAGCGAGTCTTACCCTGGCCCCAGCCTCTTCCACAAAGCAGAAATTCAAGTGTTCCAACAACTCTATTAAACCAAGTGGACCTCAAGTGGACCATGCAAGATACAGAGTTTATTATGAAAAAACCAGTCTAAATGAACTTTTCCTTTCAACTCACCCCAAATTTACAATCCTGGAATGCACAATCCCATGTAATGCGTGCCCATTTTACCCCCTTTTGTTATTCACATCAGCACACCTCTCAGTATCCTGCAAGCTAAAAACCATTGCTTTCCTTCTCTTTTTTCCATCAGCATAACTGGAGCCCTGGCACTGCAGCCAAATGAAAGCCTTGTAAAACAAGACTTCTCATAAACGTCATCCAGTTACTGCCGTGGCAGTAAATTGTCTTAGGAGAGTTTCCTCTAGTAAGCAATGTTATGGAAAATATGGCTTCTCCTAAGGTGTACTTCTTGGTGAGTGAGTTTTTTTGCTATTAAACAGCTTTCAGCTCAGTTGTGAAGCTATGCCAGAGGCTCACAGAAGGGCTTTGCAATGGTTTCTCCTGCTTGGAACAAGAGTTGTGTGGGTCATGTTCACTTGGGTGCAGAGAACAGCAAGCTTCCTTTGCTGGGCTTCCCCAGCAGATAAAACTCTGAGTGCCTGAACTCTGCTTTGGCATCTCCCTTGTCCTCTTACTGTCACATATCCACTGCATCCTCAAGATGGGGACTATGCATTGATATTCCAGTTTTAATATGAGTTTACCCAAGGTAAGAGATAAAGCAGTGAGTTTATCGTGGCAATGGCAGGGATGGGAACACAGTCCCAGCTTTCGTGTGTTATGCTCCATCAGTTATAAAAAAGTCAAAATAAGAATAAAAAAAGGTGAAAGAGGGATAATTTTCTGAGATGTATGACTTTGTGCTTTAGCGTTTCAGCAAAGCACTTGCTTTCCGTGTGAAGCTTCTTTAGCTCTCCACACTTTTCCAACCCAGAGTTTCATAACCCCTTAGTGCTTTCACTGCTTAAAGAAATCTCAAATGCAAACAGCTGGTAACATGAATAAATACCTGAATAAAGCAAAGCTCTGAAATGCAGCATATGATGGTTCACTAATTGCATGGCATTTCATGAACATCCCTTGAAACTCAGCAGTACCACAGGCTGGAGATCTGCTGCAGCATTTCCTTCTGCAGACAGGATGCCCAGCCATGGGGCTTTTCATTTCCCTTGGAAACAAATGGTGCTTTCCAAGAGAAAAGAAAAGAAGGCTTCCTATTTAATATAAGCTAAAATATGATGGTCCTGCTCTCCTTTCTGCTTTATTATGCCACCAGGTGTCTGAAGCCCACATTATGTGCTTTTTTGCATCGCCAGATCAATACAAACTCTGCTAGTTTGTCAGAGCAAAAAACAGGAACATTTCAAAGCACAGTGAGGAGGAACTGATTTAGCACAGTCTGTCTGGGTGAAAGATGCTGCTTCTGACGCTGTGCAAATTGGCTGCTCTGTGCTATTTGCTGCACTGCCGTGGACGAGGCTGTGGCCAGCTCTTGGGCAACAACTCAGGGAAACCCTTCTGCTTCTCTGTGCAATTAGAGAAGGAAAATCAACACCAAAGCCCTCTAGATGGGAGTAGGAGGTCACCAAGATGAACTGAGCAGCACCAGAGTTTGGATGTGGGAAGACTACAGGAGTGAATTGAAGTTCTTTTCCATGACTCTTACCCAGAGAAGGAAGGGGAGAACTGAGAGACATGAGGCACAGAGGCATGGCTTTCCCTTCACCTTGGAAAAGCAAACTCCCAGCAAAGGGACAAGAAGCAATGGTTGAGCAGAGCTGTTGACGGAAGAGATGGATATTTGATGTGGCAGGGAAGCAGGGAAGTTCATTCCTGATCAAATCCTGGGTTTCACAGTGAGCTCGATGAGTGAGATTTCCTGTACCAATACAGTCCTCTACTTTCCTTCTGGGGGGCAAGAGCCCCCCTTCCTGACTCCAGAAAGAAATTACGCAAATGTCTAGTTCAACCTAACAGTCAATATGCTCTTGATGCTCTAAGTACAGAGAACCTTCAGACATTTCAAGTGAGGTGACACAATTCTTAGGTGAGCTCCATGGTTATACCTGCTGCGTGCTTGGCTACAGCTCTGCCACGATGCTGTATCCACATCAATCCCTCAGATTTCCAATGCTTCCCAAGACATTTGAAGAGGTGGGAGTGTGTTACACACTCCTGTGTGATAACAGTTCATCCATATGGCAGGGAGCTGCATACGTTGGGTGTGAATATGGGCCACATGCATCTCATGGGCCAGACTTAACACAAACTCAGATGGAAATTATGCACCAAAATACAGAACACATTTTTTTTCTAAAACAGCTCAGTAAGTCACATTTTTTTTCTGAAAATCTGCCACTTCTTTTAGTGCTTGCACATGCAGCATGACCCCAGAGTGCTTGAAGAACTGAGCACAAGTGCTTTTAAAAAGCTCTGTCATTTCTATACATGAATGTGTAAAGACTACAGATAATATATCTTCAATACCCAAACATAAATACTGCTTGTAAGGCATGTGAAAATCTGAAGCAACGTGTTTGTGCAGCTGAGGTGCTGGATTCTTGTGCAGGAGGGCTGATCATACACAGGGCATGTGTTCTTTCTCTGCTCCTTGGCTTCGGCACCTTGAGGATGGGAAAACTGATCCTGACCTTTGCAAAACATTTTAAGATCCATCAGTGACAACAAGTCTGACATACGTGTTTGTTCACTATAGTATAGAGATGCTACAGAAAGGAAATCTGCCTTGTGGTTACTCATGGGATCTTTTGAATCATGGTTGTTTTTCTCAAGGAAAGGACGTTTTAGTTACCTTTATCACAAGACTTTAAATCTCCTTTGGAGGCTCCTACCCAAATATTTACACAACGGGTTTCCTAGGGAAGGCAGGCTGGCGGTTGTTTTGCTTTGTGCCATGAACTTCTCCGGCGACTGGTCTCCTCTCTATTCATCTTCACTGTAACTCAAACATTGTCTCAGAGAATCGTATAAACTGTCTGTGACACGGCCCAAAAACCTTCACCATGCTCAGCTAATCCCCGCGTGCCCGTCGCTCCGTCACTAAATTATCACAACCGTCCACAGAACTGCTCCACCCAACACAAACAGCAAAGGCGACGGGAGGAAACGGCTCCAAAGGGAACCTTTCCCTTTCGAAGCGAAAAAACCCTCCTGGTGAATGCGCTGTCACACTAAATAACTCAAAGGCACCAAATGCAAATTCTATTTACAATGGCAGTTCTATAAATATCTGTGGCACGTTTCATTAGCCGGTGACTGCAGGAATAAA